CCTTCTTTCTTCTTCCTTCTTTCTTCTTCCTTCTTTCTTCTTCCTTCCTTCTTTCTTCTTCCTTCCTTCTTTCTTCTTCCTTCCTTCTTTCTTCTTCCTTCCTTCTTTCTTCTTCCTTCTTCCTTCAAGAGAGAAAGAGAGAGTGAGCATGAGTCGAAGAGCAGGGCAGAGGGAGGTAGGGAGAGAATCTTAAGCAGGTTCCATTCCCATTGTGGAGCCTGATGTGGGGCTCGATCCCACAACCCTGGGATCATGACCTGAGCCGAAATCAGGAGTTGGACCCTCAACCGATTGAACCGCCAAGTGCCCCAAGGCTTCTTCCTTTGAGTGGGAAGAGCCTAAGAGGCAGGACTTGGAAAATTACTTTACTTCTTTGTGCTTTGTTTCTGCCTCTGCGTCATGGCATAATTTCATAGCGTTTTGGTGAAGAAGAAATGAGTTGAAAGGCATAAAGTGCAGTAACTTGCACCGCGTGTGTTAACAATTGGACAAGTAAATGTTAACTGTTGTTATAATCTTGGGATGTCTGTATGGTTTTGTGTTACATATGACTTCACCGGTAGAGTTTTTCCAAAAATGCATGCCTGTGTCATATTCCTGGAGAGTGGATCCTGATGTCTGTAATTCCAGAAAGGTTCTCAGGTTGCTCTTCATCAAAGACTGGTCCTGCAGATGTAGATGCTATTCTAGTATGCAAGTAGAGATCCTTTCAGTGCTGGGTATCAGGCTTATGGTCTCCAGGTGTTGTCATGAAGTGACACACGAAGAACTGCTTGGCACGGATCCAGGTAGGTCACGGTGCAATGGTGGAATCACAAGAAAAATTTACACTTGATGGTATCGTAGCTTTTCGTGAACTATAAATTGATGTTTGACGATTATGGCTTGGTACTTAGTTTAACTTGGTGACTGGCTGATGCGTTACATGGCTTGCAGGTCAGAAGTCTCATGCATCCAAATAATGGCACCATTTCTGTGGTATCTGTATTGTGAACCATCTCAGTTAGAAGAATATGCTAAACTCCGACTAACCCTGCTGAAAGTCTTACTTCAGCCCCGGGTTCCTGGTGACACAGAACAGCCATCAACATTGGAACAACAGATACTTCAACTGTGCTGTGATATGGTTCCATGTCTGCAGGTAAGGCCTTCTTGTCCTCCTTTACTTACACAACGTCAGCATCAGCAAGTGTTGTTGGTCATTGTCAACATACATGAAGTAAGAACCCATGTGATCTGCAAACTCAAATACGAGCTCCGCTCTAGAAACGCTTGCAGGCTTTTGGAGATGATGAAGGGACCAACTCTAGATTTAACATTAATACATATCATGTTAACTAGCTTCACAGAAATATAAATCGGGATGCCTAGGCGGCTCGGTTGGTTAAGTGCCCAACTTCAGCTCAGGTCATGACCTCGCAGTTTGTGAGTTCAAGCTTTGCATCGGGCTCGCTGCTGTCCCCTCTCTCTGCCTCTCTCCTGTTCACGTGCATGCATGTTCTCTCTCTTTCACTCTCTCTCTCTCTCTCTTTCACTCTCTCTCTCTTTCACTCTCTCTCTCTT